TAGAAACAATGATGAGAACAGTTAGAAGAAATATATGGTCCTCAGTAAAAAGTCTTCATATTTCAAAAAAAGGAGCTCTCACATCCTTCAATGGGTGAGCTATAGTTAGCCTGTGAGAAGGAGAGCTCCAGGTGATTGGACCTAACATGCAAGCAGCAATGGTGACTGTAAGACACGGGAAAATCAGCCTTGACACAAGAGTCAGCTCAGGAAAGGCAATGAACCAGCAGGAAAGCGTTAAAGGATGAGGTGTTCCTCAAGGGAGCGAGAACCAGTTGTGACTCACAGTCCTCTCTCCACTGTTAGAGCGGCAAGTTTTTGTCCACAAGGTGGGACAAACAATAAAACAGCATGAGTGCAGCCTGGTTCTTTTTCAAGGCAGGTGTGGTGAGGTGCTGCCAGTAAGGTCAGTCCTCTCGGAATAAGCAAAGTTCTTCGGGAGTCAACTGTTTCTGAAAATAAATGTTTGAGTCAAACACTTCTTTGGTTAGTAGGAGACTTTCTTGGTAGACCATGTGGCCTCAGCAAAAGAAGTTGCAGAGGAGTTGAGGAAGTTGGGGTAATTTAGAGTCTCAGTGCTTTGGGGCAATATAGAGACAGCTCCCTGTACTCCTGCCATCCCAGGACTTATCTCCCTGTACTAACTCCTGGGACGCCAAGGTTCTGAAAGGATGAAGCATGTCTTATTCACCCTCCTTTGTGTCTGCAGCACTCTGCACACTTCCTGTCATCTGGAAGGCACTCAATACATAAAAGTTGATATATGAAACATGACATCTGGTGCCTTTTATAGAGCAAAAATTAATTTGTGTTAGAGGGCTCCCAAGATGCAATTTTGAATTCTAATGTGTATCTGCCTTAGCGTGAGAATTACTGTTTAATTGTGACAATAAGGAGATAGTATGGCTAAAACAGTTCTTTTCTTCCTGTGGTGTTAATTGGTGAAATGAAAGATAGTGGGATCTTAATCTCTTCAAAGCCTTTTCTGTTTCAAATATGAAAATGTGTTTCTGAAGATAAGGGCATTTCAGCTAACAGTTCAACTAGATTAAAGAAGAAAAAAGCTTTGAGTCATCTGGATGAATATGGCTAACAGGATTTAGGTATTCATTAAGATGGGGATAAACTGCTAAATTTAGATTGACTTATGATTAATTTGTTTGATGCATTTCCTTGTGGAATAATGCATGGACTATGATTTTGAATGTGACACAGACACACGCCATTCCTTGTATGTATCTTTTAAATATAGATGTTTTCTTTTTCTTGTTAAATAGGAAGAGTACTACATGTGAACATTCCAGAAAGAAGATGGAATCTGCCTCCTTTATCATAAACGTCCTTGGTGGGGAGCTGGATGGAAGCCAAGCTTTTGCTGAATCCCAGCTGGCCATGGATTCTGGATATACTGGAGCTGGAGAGCGCATGGTTGAGAAAAGGAACTGTAAAAACAAGTTGCTAGAAAGAAATCCACACAGACTGGTTGACTTGAAAACAGCTATCTCAAAAATGTCTTGCCCTGCCTGGGGTACAACTAGAAAAAAGGAATCCCACCTCTGTGAGTAACATGCCTAATAGGAAAACTTTGAAAAACCGATTCTATGTGTTTCTTTGCCAGGGGAATTAAATAGTGGCGGAAGTTTGCAGAAAAAACACAATGGGGAATTGGATACAGCTGTTTGCTTAAAAAATTTTAACTGACTTTGTTGTCTCTTAAATGGAAACATGTGAATTGTGCATTCTTTTTGTTGTTTGAAGAAAAATGGTGAGAATACTACAGTGCAACTGGAGAATACAAATTTGATAGGATTAATCTAATTTACTTTAGATGCACTCATTCCTCATTGGGAGAATTTATTTAATTGGTAACTTAATTCGGGTGGAGAGGCATTTTAATTGGAGTTGATTACTGGTTTTTTTTTATATATTACAATGCATTAGGAGTTACAGCAAGCACCACATGATGTAAAATTGGGTAATTTTAAGCCATATGAACCATTTGGATATTTTTTGTCTTAACTGCAATGGAATTTGCTAGGAAATGCTCATTAACTAGAACTGATTTCTAAGTTGGATATTATTTGGAAAAACATTTGGGAGTAGGTCAAAGATGGAAATTTAACAGAGCTAGCAGCCAAAACAGCAGCAACAACAACAACAAAACCCCCAAAACTCTTAATATATTAGGACTGCAATGGCAATGTGTTGTGGTCACCCCAGAACCTAAATTGCACCACTGTTATGGATCATCACTGCAGTGAATGGGAATTTTGGGGTTAGAATTGGACAGTTTTTCCTGGTCATTTTCCTAGTGACCAACATAGAAATATGGAAGAATGAACTGATTCCAAAACAAGCACTTATGTTAACAATTTGAGGGTAAAAACAGATGAAAATCCTAAGGCAAATAATAGATTTATCAAACAAAAACAAGAAACAGATGGCATAACTATGTAGGAATGAGGTAGCTTTGATGTCGGAAAGATGAGGGAAGACAACAAATATGTCTATTGAAGCAGAGGTACTCTATATTTGTCATCTCTTCTTGGGTGTGGGACACACAATACTTATACTCCCTTATTACCGCCATATGTAATAAATCCCTTAAATCCCCATGGTCACAAAATCTTTATAGGACCAACCTATAGAGAATGCAAAGGAATGAAACAATGGATAGACAATGTTCTAAAAAAAAAAAATACTACTAATTCATTATCTTGGTAGGGCCTGACTTCTTATTGCATTCAGAATAAAACCCAAACACCAACATCACCTCCCATGCCTGAGGTGATCTGACCCCTGAGGTGATCTGACCCCTGCAGACTCTGAGTTCATGTCTTCCCACCCCCATCGTTATCCTTCAAGCTCTAGCCACACCAGCTTTCTTTCAGTCCCTTGGACTTTCTACACTGGTTCTTTCTACAAGGCCTTTGCACTGCCATTCTGTGTGGAATGCTTTTCCCTTGGCTGAATCTTTCTGTATAATTCAGGTCTCAATTCAGTTTTAATCTCCCCCCAAAGAATTCTCATGCTATCTAAAGCAGTCCATCCCCTTTCCTACCCCCAGATCCACCTACCACATTACCCACTTTGATTTCAAAGCTCTTGCCATTACCTGAAATCCCCTTATTTATTATTTTTGGTTTTCCCTCTCCATCTCCCCCTACAGATCATTAGCTCCACAGTGTCAAGGGTTTTCTATGTTTCATTCACTGCTATGCCTGAAATCCCCTTATTATTTTTGGTTTTCCCTCTCCACCTCCCCCTACAGATCATTAGCTCCACAGTGTCAAGGGTTTTCTATGTTTCATTCACTGCTATATCCTCCACACCTATATAGTACCTGGCACATAGTAAGCAATGAATGAATGAGAAAGAGTTTAGGGACCCACAGTGGAATTGCCTATGAAAAAAAGAAATAATGGACAAAGAGAAATGGAACTAGGGAGGACACCCAGGAAGAAGAGGAACAATGAGTGGTGACAGTGACAGCTGGTTATGGTGTACAATTCTGGCTCCTGTAAAAAGAAGTTGTTTACATGCATTCCAGGCAGAGGGAATGGCTCAGGCCAAGAGATTTTTTACACAACCACACGCTTTTTACTTTGTTGCTATTACGGTTTTGTTTTCAGTGTGTGTGTTGGGGGTGGGGGTGGGGAAATTCCTGTGTATTTCTCAGGGGAAGGCTGAGTTTTCTCTTTCAGGCTGCAGGTGTTGCTGCATTCCCTGGTGGTGCCAATGGGAATCATTTAGATACAAACACCATCCTATTCTAGGACTTTCAGGCCAAGAGACAGGAAAGAGAGTGAAGGAATGATCATCACACACTGTGCTGAGTTTATATCAGTGAGAAGTGAGATGGTTTGGTGGTAGGGGTGACCCCCAATTTGTTTTTATGCAGAAGATGCAAGCCCTAGCATTTTTTTTTTTTTTTTTTAAAGATGACCGGTAAGGGGATCCTAACCCTTGACTTGGTGTTGTCAGCACCACGCTCAGCCAGTGAGCCAACCGGCCATCCCTATATGGGATCCGAACCCGGGGCCTTGGCGTTATCAGCACCGCACTCTCCCGAGTGAGCCACGGGCCGGCCCAACAAGCCCTAGCATTGCTGTGACTCAGGGATCTGTGACCGTGGTTGCTTGTACAGTCAGCAGCCCAAATTTTTGAATGGCTACCTTGGGACTCCACACTGTGTATGATGTAGGAGGCAGGAGAGCCCACACTATTTGCCACGTCAGAAAAATCCATCCATGGAAAAGAGAGAGAATGATGAAAGTCTTCTCAGGAAGCCTCAGCAGAATGGTGCTTTTATTTTAACTGACATGTCTATGCAAATACACACAGTCACAATAGGGATCTTCTTAGGCCTGACTATAATTTAAACTCTGAAAGGTGAGCAAGACTGTTAGAGACCTTCATCCTCCTGGTAACATATGTCCCTTGATGTCTTGGTGTCTTAGTTCTCTTCTAGCCCCTTGCTTACAATTACATGAGATATTTTAGCTTTGGTGTGAACTGTGCAGGTAAAGAAACTGGACACCCAGAATGGAGGAATCAGAGGTGGGGATGTCTGCAAGCAGTAGAAAACTAAATTAGAAGAGCAGAAACATAAACCAGCAGTGACTTCCTGTCTTGGGTCCGGCCAGCTTAAAGTGGCTCTCTGGTCATTGGTCAAAAGACTTTCATGAGCAGACCCAATCATTAATGCAACAAACTCTAATGAGTGCTAAGTTGGAGGTGCTTCCATTCTAAAACTTAGGGGTGGACCAGTTACTGGGAGAGGAGGAATGAAGGTGTGGAATCCATAATAGGTGGTCTCATACATTGGACATTGCTGGGGGACACAAAACAGCTCACTACAACAATACAACACAAACTTGTATCTGGCTCTGATCACCTTGGACATTGCTGGGGGACACAAAACAGCTCACTACAACAATACAACACAAACTTGTATCTGTTTGTTCCCCAAGACTCACATGACAACAGTTTCTACCATCTTAGGTTACAAAGACATTATTTAATCCAGGTTACACTAGGATTTTACAAAAGAGACTTTGACCACAAATATATTTCTAAAATTAAAGTGGTTAAGAGAAAAGTGCAGGGGCTGGAAGTCACAAGAGCTATGTGCCCATCCTGGCTTTGCTGCTGTTCCAGGCGTGTGAACCTGAAAAAGCCGTTTAACATCTCTGGGTCTCAATGTGTTCATCTGTAGAGCATGTCCCCGACATACTCCTTCAGTGTTCTGGAGCAGACCTCAAGACAGAAGCTCACTGTGGAAATTTAAAAGCAAATGGAAGACATGGCATCAAAACAAACTGGACAACCACTTGAGCTCATATAATCATGCATCCTCATAAAGGGACTTGCTGGTTACTAGTTTGGTAAGTATTGTTAAAGGATATTTATTTGTAACTTTTAAGAATAGTAATTTTCAGATGCTTGTCTTAGAATATGCTCAAGAGGAGTCTCAGATCGTTTCCAGTTTGAATGAACAATTCTTATGTTTGGCTTGGTTGGAGGTGGGGCTAGATGAAAGCTGAGCTGCACGTCCTTCAGAGGCCACAATGAAAAGTCAGCCCTATATTCTAGCAGTGTTGATCTGGAACAGCTGCTGCATTGGTGTCAGCTCAATACCCTATCTCATAATTTAAAAAGCATCACCAATATCTTTAACCAAAATACACTTGAGTTTATATGCTAATTACAGGAGAGAAAAGAACATTTGCCAAGTGTCCTCTACTTGTGAGGTGTTTTACATACGTTCTGTCATTTAATCCTTGAGGCAACTTTAAAAGGTAGGTATTACTGTCCTCATTTTACAGGTGAAGAAACTGAGACCCAAAGTGGTTCTATGACTTGCCCACGGTCACATCATTAGGACATGGCAGAGATCTGAAATAAAAGGTCAGGTCTTCTGATGTCACAGTCCCTGCTTTTTCTTCTATAACATCATGCTACCTAGAAGAAAAAGAAAAGACATGAACAGTTAGCCAGCAAAGTTAGGGGAAAATATATGCTACTAGCAAAGAGCTCACCCATTCTATATCATTCTGAAATATCCAATTTTCAAAGGATCAGAATATGATAGAAATATTCAACATTAAATCTCTACTGAACATAAGCCATCGGACTCTGATAATTCAGAAGGCTCTTGCAGATCTTGCTGTGCCTTAAAGATCTCACTGACAATACTGATTTTCAGTACACTACAGATACATGGGAAAGAAAATGCTAGGTAACAGAAAAGCCAGTTCACCTGCCTCTAAGATGCTGGGCACTACACAGCATTTATCTGTTTTTATTATACCAGATCAACGAAACAAATGAAGTCTATCAACATGGTTCTTCCTCTTTGGGTATATATGCTAAACATTTACCCATTCTCATACCCAGTGAGAAAGAAATCAATTCAAAAGGATCTCACCTTTCACAAAATTCTACCCTTAAAATCCTAAAAGTCATATCAACGTGCACGAGATTTTTGGCAGTCACAAGCTCTATTACAAAGCAGAGCTTAAAAACAACTGGAGAATACAATGGGTATTTAAATGCACCCTTGCTGGGTGGGTCAGTCTGCATGAGGCAGTGTGGCTGTGTGGGAGGGAGACAGGTCCGGACCTGTGGCAAACTGCTGCTCCTGCCAGCGGGTTACCAAAGCCAAGGCTCATGACTTATGTATATTCCTCAGCTGTCCCAGTGCCTGTGTCCCTAGCAACATCAAACAATGAAATATCTTCACGCAACCATGTCTAAATAAAGAGCTCAAAATTTGAATCTCCAAGAAGTAGATAATTTCAGATGACTTATGTATATTCCTCAGCTGTCCCAGTGCCTGTGTCCCTAGCAACATCAAACAATGAAATATCTGCACGCAACCATGTCTAAATAAAGAGCTCAAAATTTGAATCTCCAAGAAGTAGATAATTTCAGAAAGGCGTTTCTTGGCACCCTTAGAGCAGACTGGGATGAAAGTTGTACCGGAGGCTGGAGAAGAGCCCTATGTGTTTCACAAGGTTGGGCTCTACCACGTAGGCCCGCTCTCCCTTGGCCCTCAGCAGTGAGTACAGTGCCATGTCCTTGCCAAAGCCCTTGTGGCAGTACACCTGGGACAGGTAGGTGAGGGTCCGGCGGGCCGCAGGGGCAGGGAAGAGCATGGCTGGGGTGCAACACTGAGAGGCAGGCACTACGCTGTACAGGGAAGGGCTCAGACGCCGCAGTTCCAGGAAATAATGCCGACCCACCAGTTCAACCAGACCCATGCTGTACAGAGAGAAGAAGAGCATGACGGGCCAGCTAAACCCTGCACGGCTGGCAAACCTCATGTATATCCAGGTTAGTAAGGGTCCTAGCAACATGCCCACACCGACCCACTCCAGGATCCGCATGGGCTCTGGGTTGATGTAGTGCTGGAGCCTCTCAGGGTGATAGAGCTTTAGATAAAGGGCATCTCGGAGGTGTGGCTCAGAGAAGCGAGCCCGCAGAAGGTGCTCCAACACGGGGAAGATCTGCTCCTCTGGAACGGCGTCATCTTCCACCATCAGGACGTAGTCTGGGTTGTAGGTCTGCAGGGATGACTCCAGGCAGTAGACATAATCCTGCTTCTCTTTCTCAAATGAGTTGGTCGAAGGGTCATCGCCATAATCATCCTCAGTGCCCTCGTAGCGGTTAGCCACGGGGACATACTTGGAGAGCAGCTTGGCATCGAAATGGCTCACACTACGCTCCACGTTGCACAGGAAGAGTTGGTGCCCCTCGCACTGGGGGCCGCATTGCTGAAGAAGCCGGTGGAACTGGGACACCACCTGCAAGACATAGTGGAAGCCAGGCTGCCTGTCCACAGTGATGATGGTGATCACCAGCCAGGGGCGGGGGGTGGCCTGCCAGACGATGGGCACTGAGCCATTGGCGGAGGGCAACTCCTCGAAGTAGTGGAGGGCAGCCTCCCCCTCTTTCAAGCTTTGCTGCAGGAACTCTTGGCTCATTTGGTGCAGATGCCAATGGCGCAGGTAGAAGTAAGAGTGCAGAAGCCGGTGACAGGCCAGGGGGGCCAACAGGCCAAAGGTCACCACCGTCAGGATGAGGAGCTGGACGGCAGTGCTGCCCCAGGAGAGTCTCCTCAGCCTCCGGAGCAGCATGGCGGCTGGAGAGGGTGAAGTGCTCATGAGGTCAACTTTGTTCATGTCTGATCCCAGGAGCAAACCATCCTGGAACTTAGGCCAGAATCAGCACAAGTCAAACCTAAAGAGAGAGGAAGTAGAGAATGGGAAAGATAGCTTTAAAAAAAAATTCAAGGACTGAACTCAGCTCTATCAAACCAGAAATTATAATTTGAGGCTGTGTAGCTTTTATAGAGTAAATTGTTCTTTGGTTATATCTGTTAATGATCTCTGGTGTGCTTTTATTATTTCTATGAGTAATAAAATCTTAGTGCACCCAACTAAGTCTCCACGCCTAAAGATGCTTAGTTAGATTTAAGGTGTCAGAAAATCACCAGCTAGGCTGGGAAAATCATTATTTCTATTCACCAGCTACATAGGCATGGGTTCATAAAACAGACACACAAAAGCAAGGCTTGGCACAGAGGAAAACACACAGAGCAAGTTCCAGCATTAGTGCACAGTAAGTACTTGTTAACTGTGCATAGTAATTTCTGAAAACTCTGTCTTTTCTGCACATCCCAAACAAGAAAAGGAATACTTAGGAGTCTCTGAAATGTCTTTGTTATTTAATGCCATCTTTCATTCATATTTCTCTAATCTCAGTCAACTATACTTAAAATTGCATATTAATTTAATCTTGATTGTTCTCCTATTTTATTTTTATAGAACTATCATGGGAAACAGTGAGAGAAAATATCTTCCGTACGCAAGCAAACTCTAGGGCCCCAGACTTTGGGAGCAGAGGAAACATCTGGAGGAAGATCCATGAGTGGCTTTTCAACAAGGGAGGGAAGAGGTAGGTGAGGCGAAGAAGGAAGACAGTGGCCCCCAGCCTAGACCAGAAAGAAATGCTGTGTGATGTGATGACTCAGGGACAGCCTAAGGTCAGGCACAGGTTGGTGTGAATCACAGCTCTGCTACTCACCTGGTGGGAAGCCACTTCACCTCTCTCTATCTTGGATTCTGCTCTAAAATGGGAAGAATAATAATACCCGTCTCATAGGGTTACTGTGAATATTAAACATGTTAGTGAGTAAACTAATGCAGAGTAAAACTGCCATTAAAATATAGCCATATGTTCAAATTCAAGTTATATTTCAGGAGTAAGTAGGACTAATGTTCTGACGGAAAACAGACTTGCACCATAAAAAAGAATTAAAAAGAAAAGTCAGTATGAAACCAGTAAGGTCAATGCAAAACTAGATAGTGCGTGTAGTGTAGAAAGTAAACCTCTTGCCTCAGAAGCATGAAAAGTTTGCACACATTTGGAAGAAAACTATCCAGCTTGTGAGTTCTTGAGAAAGGACTGTCCGGCACCATACAAGGTTACTGTGGTGCAGTCTGCAAGTGCTCTCATAGCCACATTCTCCGCCTTTTTGTGCATGCAAAAAGACCTCATTTCCTAGCCTGCCTCCTTCTAGGTGGGGTCATGTGACTAGGGCTTGCCAGTAAAATGTGAGCAAAGTGACAGGTGCGACACCTGGGCCAAGGTGGTTGAGAACAGATGTCTTCTCGACTTTCTCTTTCCTAGTCTGCCAGCTGAATGGAAAGTCTCGGTGGATCTACTGAGTGGGGCCGTCAGATGGCAGGTGCCTGGGTCCTTGAGTGACTTCATGGAACAGAGATCCCTCCCACTGCCCACCAGTCAGGTGGCTTCCTCCTCACACTGTTCTCCCTACCCTTGCTATTACCTAAGGGATGAACCCATCTAGAGGAGGGAACTAAATAGAGGAGGGTCAACAAGGGAAGGCACGCAGCCTGGAAAATGCCAGGCACATAGGAAGTGTTATCACTATGATATGGCCGGTGGGACAGAAACAAAAGTACTTAGTACTGACATTAAGAGGCCCTTTCATCCCAGGTAATTTTCCCTACTGGGAGCAATAAAATAACTAACATCTCTCAAAGTCTCTTACTTTAAAAATACGGCTGTGAGACTGCTGTTCTGCTGATGATCAGGGAAGGAGAGGGCTTCAGTTTAGAAGACACATGGTCCCTGCCTACCTTGATCAGCTCTTGCTGGGTGAACAGCTCCAAATCTTCATAACTTACAATAACAACGTGCACTTCTTGTACACGAGTCTGTAAATAGCTGTGGCTCAGCTGGGTTCAGCTCCAGAATGTAGGTAGGAATAAGATCATTCCAGTCTTCTCCTTCCAGATCAAGCTGCGGAAGAAATGGCCATCTGGGGCATGCTCTTATGTTGGATAGAAGCTGCACAAAGGGCCAAGTCAAAACCTGCAAGTATGTTTACATCCTGGTTTAAGTGTGCCACAAATCATGTTCACTCACCACCCAGTGGCCAAAGCAATGTGGCAGGGAAACCTCCCAGAGAGCAGGGGAAGGGGAAAGTGAAGATTCAATAGAAAGGAAAAGCACCTGGCCAATTTCTAGGCCCTCAGGAGAAAAGAAGGATCTGGCAGTCTACTCAAGAGTGTGGAAAATTTCTAGAATGCTTACAGAGCACAAGACCCAAAACTCCTATCATCACTTACTGTATGAACTATGACAGGTTTCAGTAATGATCCCAAAATCTCAGTGGTTTATAAGAGCTAAGGTTTAATTCCTAGCTCATGTTACTTGTCCTTTATGGGTCAATTATGCCTCTGTTCCATGCTCTCTGCACTCCAGGACCCAGGCACACGGAACTGCATTTTTCTTGAACATTGCTGGTTTTATGGCAAAGAGAAAAGAGATAGTGAACCACAAGCTGGCTCCCAGAGTTACTGCTCAAAAGTGACGTATCACGTCTACCCATATTTCACTGACCAGAGCAAATCACATAATAATTCTTGAGTTATGTAATTTTCCTGCAAGAAGTGGGTACCAAAAGGCACATGACCAATCTAAAGTCAATGACTGGGGAAATATACATCTTTCCAGGGAAGAGCAGAAAATACTTTGAACAGAAATGTGATCTACTACACTCACCCTGCATCATTGGAGCTGGGATCAGATCCTTCACTCAATGATTACATAACTGGTTTGCCAAAAATCCAGCCACATTGAGTTATATAGGTATTCAAGAGTGTGCTTTGGTTTGCCTTTTAAAATATTTTCTTAAAGGATTTAATCAATTGATACACAGTACGGTGTCATGTCCAACACCACCTATAATTTATTTTACTTTACTAATCTGTAAGATAACTGGCCTTAGGGGAACAAACCTAAAAACATAAGATTTTTCAGTGGTAGTTTTGGGGAGAGGAGCTCTTTATTCCCAGGCCAATTATGGGGGTGGGAGAGGAGGGCTTTGTCTACCTTATCATTCTGATTGCCTTTTTCCATGGTCACCTGGGATGTCATTGGCTCGGGCACATGCTCCAGCGACATTGTGGACTGATTAGCATCTGTGAACTAGCCTGGTAATGACCATACCATTCCAGCCCTGATTCTATGGAACAATATTATTGAGTTCTTATCTATGCCTTGCAAGTGCACTTTGAAACACAACCACTCCCTAACTTGGATTCTGCCTGTTACCAGTCTAGGGTATAGGGCTCAGGGGAGACAGTAAAGGACAAAAAAACTGAGAAATGAACATGAACTGGAGCTTTAATGAATAAATGATGTGACAACAACAGTTACATTTTTATGCAGCTTCTGAAAATTAAACTAAAAGAGCTATAGGGGGATGGGAGGCAGAACACCAGGCTGAGCATTAGGAGATAAGAACAGTTCACGTTCCCCAAGTCCTACATGAACAGCACCACCACCCTCCCAAGCACCTGGGTCCAAAAGACTGTAAGTCTGACTTCTCACCTCCATCTTGTCACTCCCAATGCCACCTCCAGGGTCTCTATTATGCCTCTCTGTTCTCCTCCCCTCCTCACTGCCATGCCCTTGTTATCCTTCATCACCTCCAGGCCAGATGATTGAAACAGGCTCCTAACTGGGCTTCTGATCTCCAGAATGAGCAATAGAAGCCAAAAGATCTGGGTCCGGTTCTGGTCCCAACACTCACTAATTAGGTCAATTTGTATAAAGAAATCATTTCTTTCCCTGGGCTTATTTTGTCTCTCTGCAAAATAGGAAAATAAAAATTATCTCATTTATGGAGGTATTGTGAAGACTATGAAAGCCCTTTGTCAGACACAGGCATGGTGCAAATGATGGCAATGTTTTCCATTATCAGCATCCATCTGATACTCTGAAGCATTGGTCAGAACATGGCACTCTTTTCTGTGAAACCATCCAGTGATATCCCCAATAACTGTAGAATAAAGTCCATATTCTTTGCCAAGATTCCTCACAATCCAGTTCCGACTATCTTTCCAGCTGCATTTCTTCTCCTCTCACAGGCTATCTCAGTCATCAAGAATTAGCTCAGAGAGTGCGTCTTCCAAAAGCCAACCCTGATCTCTCCCGACCAGAAATAATCCTTTGTTTTTCCTCTAGTACTGGGGCCTTTTACGTGAGCGCGTCTTCCAAAAGCCAACCCTGATCTCTCCCGACCAGAAATAATCCTTTGTTTTTCCTCTAGTACTGGGGCCTTTTACGTGAGCGCGTCTTCCAAAAGCCAACCCTGATCTCTCCCGACCAGAAATAATCCTTTGTTTTTCCTCTAGTACTGGGGCCTTTTACGTGAGCGCGTCTTCCAAAAGCCAACCCTGATCTCTCCCGACCAGAAATAATCCTTTGTTTTTCCTCTAGTACTGGGGCCTTTTACGTGAACTTTCCCCCCCGGGCACTCATTTGTCACTTTCTACATTAGAATGTATCTATTTATACCTAGCATTTACTAGGGTTCTTCAAAAAGTTCATGGAAAAATTGAATTAAAAGAGAATACTCTTGTATAAAATAAATGTTTTCATATAATCAGACCATTGCTAGTTAGTTAACAGAACAAAAGATCCCAGTCTAAAAAATAAAAAATAAAGCCAACTAAAATACCTAGGAATTAATTTAAGAAATATGCAGAACATACACACATACTCCAGAATTCGACTGAAGAACATTTAAAAACTTATTAATAAACAGAGAAAAACAACATTTTTCCAGCTGGAAAGACTTAGTAATAGAAAGAGGTCCCTTTCTCCAAATTAATCTCTATTTAACATAATCTCAATTCAATTTACTTCGAGTCAAGAGGGAGTGGCATGATTCAGCAAATGGTCACTTTCCTATAAATTAGTTCAATCTTTGGATGGAAAGTTGCAGCAGTATCTATAAAAATTTAATGTGTGCATCTCCTTTGACATTGCAGTCCTACTTCTAGGAATCTACCCTGAAGAAATGCCAACACATGCTACCAAAGATGGACAAGGAATATTCACTGCAATTTTGCTTGTAATAAAAAGAAAAAGAGAAAAATGGAGGGAGAGAGGAAGGGAAGAAGGAAGGAAGGAAAGAAGGAAATAGTTGGAAAGGAAAGGAGGAAGAAAGAACGAAAAAGGGGGGTGAGGGGACTGCAGGCAAACAAAATGCCTAGCAACAGGGAACAGATATTTTACATAGGATACAAGGGTCTCCTAGGGAGACATTAAAAAGAAAGTTTTAGATACACTGACATAAAAGAAGTCTTTGCCAGTTCTCTGTTATCGACTGAATGTTTGTGTCCCCCCCAAATTCATATGTTAAAACCCTAATCCCTAAGGTGATGGTATTTGAAGATGGGGCCTTGGTGAGGTAATTAGTTCATGAGGGTGCAGTTTTTAAAAGGAGACATGAGACAGCTTGCTTTGCCATGTAAACCAGAAAGAGGGCCCTCACCAGAACCCAACCATGCTGGCACCTGATCTTGAACTTCCAACCTCCAGAACTGTGAGAAATAAATGTTTAAGCCCCTAGACCATGGTAATCTGTTATAGCAGCTCAAGCAGACTAAGACAGTCTCCAAGAGAAAAATGTCAAATTGTAGAAAAATGAACACAGTATGACCATTTTATTTTTAATGTAGGGTATAACTTAGTGAAGGAGAAATGAAGGGTATGGGAGATGTTGGTTTCCTGTTTTGCTTTCTATACTTCTGCAAAGAACACATTACTTTTATGATCATTATGACTTTTATGATCATTATTAAACATTTGATTCAACAAACACTGAGTCTTGAAGCATGTACTGGGATAGTGAAAATGACAGTCAAGGCCCCTGTTAAGTCCATTTTTAATCCCTAATTTAAATTGCTATGGTTACGATAAATTCAATTACATTTTTGCATCTGCTTGTCGATTTTTGCATCTATTTATCTGTGCATTTTGGTGCCAGCGCCATGTTATTGTAATTACAAAAGCTCTATAATAGGTTTTAATATCTGGTTAGGCAAATTGTCTCTCATTACCCAGCATCATAATTTTCCTGGCTTTTAAAAAAGTCAGCTTCATTGAGGTATAGTTTACATAATATGTACCATTTAAATGTATGTTTTGATGAGTTTTATCAAATTTATACACCCATGTAACCACCATTACTAAAATATTCCACCACCATCAAGAAAAAATTGCCCAAAGTATTCTAAAGATTATCCATCTGGAATTAGTACTAGTAAAAACTTCCAGGAAATGCTCGCTTTGGTGCAATATATACAACAGAGAATTTCTACTTTAATGTGTAATACATAAAGAGTGCTTAAAAACTGGAAGGGGAAGATACTCCAATTGAAAAATGGCTAAAAGAAATTAACAATCAATTCACTCATTCAAATGCAAAAAGCTAATACTCAAAGGAAAAGGTGTTGATTCCTATGGGTAATCAAAGACACACAAATTAAAACAAGACACCATTTTTTTTTGCCCGTGTTATTGATTTAAAACTTCAAATATGTATATATAGAGAAAATTTTAAGATATACACAAAATCTCAACGATGTAGAAGATGAAGTTTCAAGTTATTTTTATTTTCTCCTTTACATTTTTGTTTCCTGAATAATAAGCTTGTCCTTTAAAAAGCCTAACAATTCTAATTATATTAGGTGTTAAACACACATAGCTTTCTCATCTCATAAAGTACCTGGTGCAGCGAACTCTAGAAATGCAACCCTAAAGGAAAGCTATTTCCTCCTGCAAGGCTTCGTTTTCTGGTGGAAATACACACGCGCGTATGCACATGCACACACACCTACGGGTTTTGCTAATGGTCCGCATAGTGAGATCATCATTGTAGCCACCCTGCGGTCCCTGAAGGAGAGAATGGGCCGAGTAGGAGATGCCGGGTCATACCCACCCTGCAGAACCTCACGCCCCAAGACTCCGCGGGCGCAGTGCGGGACTGGTGACGCCTGAGTCGAAGGGCCAGAAGGTGGGCGACACACGCCCAGGCAGTCTTAATTCTCCCTCTTGGACAGGGAATGGGGGAGACCTGAGCCCTGGGTCTAATGTCTGCCCTTGACCTTGGGCAGTCCCCGCCGCCCTCGGGCCTCAGTCTCCCCACCCACGGGCCAAGGCTGACTGTCTCTAGCGCTGGGCTGGCTCCCTTCGGCTGGCCTTTCCGACAGTTGGTAGGGGCGGCTTCCTCTACCGGTCGCCCTCCCGAGGGCCCGGGCCTGCGATGTCACCCGCAGAAACCCAATGCTGCAGCAGCGCTCTCGGTGCGCCCGGATGGCCGGGGGGCGGGGAGTGGGGGGACGCGCGGCGAGGGTCAGCTGCTTGCAGGCGGCCATTAGGCGACGGGCCCTGGGAGCTTCGGCCCGGCCAGGCGCGGCTGGGGTCTTACCCGGTCTCACGCGCCCAACTCGCGTCTTCCTGTCGGCCTCGCAGCGCAGCCGGCGCGGGCGAGGGGTGAGGAGGCGTCCCCGGCGCGGCACTCAGTCAACCCTGCGCTGACTCCGGCGCCGGCCGCGCGGGGGACGCCCTTCGGGGTCCCCCCAGTCTTCCCGCAGGAAGCGGCCGGTACCGCGGGCAGGGCCGCCGCGAAGCCCGCCTGCCCTGGGCGCACGGCCGGGGGCTCGGGCCCTCTCCGGCTGCGCCACCCCCGTGCCAGTTGCGGCCGCCCCTAATCTTCGTCCCCTCGCCCTGGCGTCTGTCCGTGGCGGGCGTTCCGACTACCGTGCCAGAAGGGCTGGGCAGATCGTGCGCAGCGGAAACCTACCTGGTGAGGACGGCCAGCTCCGTCCCCGGCGCACGCCGAGGGCCGCCTCTGGTGTCCCCACCTAGGCTGGCGGGCTGGCTGACCCTGGAGGAGGTGCCATCGTGGACACCGGGGCGGGCAGGAACGGGCGCGGCGCGGTTTGGTGGCCGCCCCAGCCTCTCCTCCTCCCGCGGCGCAGCTCTGGCGCACGCAGGGCTCCCTCGCCCAGGCAGGCCATGTGACCTGCTAGCTGCCGAGCCACCGCAGCCCCCAGAGCTGGCTTGGTGGGGAGAGGGGGAAAAAAAGGACGGCAAAAGGCGCCAACTGACGGGCAGCGAGGGAAAAGCAGGGCTCGCCCCCGAGTCCTGCAGACAGGAAGCTTGTTTCTTTTGTGAGAGGATTAGGAGCCAGCGTTGTATTTCATCAGGTGGGAACGCTGACTCCCAATGCGTGTACGTGCTTCATTAGAAAGCTATGACTTTGGGTCCTGAATGTTTTTCAGTCTTCCCTAAACCTTCTATTTAAACACAAATGGTCTTGGGAGAGAGAACACGGGGGGTATGAGAAAATATGTACATTGGTCGAGAATGATTCTTATAGAGCAACACAGGAAAAAGATATGGAACGATCCAGGTAAGGAATAATATGGGGGCCAAAAGAAAAGTAACAACCAGCTACATTCCACCCTGGCCTTTCCCTTCTGAGGGTTTTCACCACAGTTTTACTGAAATGCTCATTGGAACGTTTTGGATTTCATATTTTGGGGTTAGGTATGCTCAACCAGTATGTATTCTGCAAATGTTACAAAATCCAAAGAAATCCAAAATCCAAAACACTTCTGCTCCCAAACATTTTGATTTTTTTTTTAAATTTTATTTTATTAATATATATTTTCTTACATTCTATGATGTTGTTGCAGAGCAATTGGGAGGGAGAGGGAGAGGGGAAAGGGGAAGGAAATGTGATGGAAGAAGAAGGAAGGAGGAGGGGTGGGATTGAGGCCTGTGGCAAGCCTCACATTCCCACAGGGGAGACCACGGGGCTTCTAGTAGTAGCTTGGTCAATGCCAGGCTGAGTGCAGATGTCAGGGAGGGTGTGGCAAAAGCCCTCGCCTCCCACCGCCCCAGCTCGGGAACCCGGGGCCCTTCTTGCTGTGGCTTAGTGGTCATTGCTGGGCTGGTTGCTTGTGTTGGGGGGGGCGTGACTGAGGCCCAAGGCCCCTGGCCCCCCACTGTCCTGGCTCGGGAGAGCTCAGGGCACTTCCTGCAGTGGCTTGGTGGTCATCACTGGGGTGGTTGGGCTTGTTGGGGGGGGACCCCCACACTCAGGACTGGTTGTGGGTGTCAGGGAGCATGGCTGAGGTCCCCGGCCCTCCTTTCTGGCTTGGTAGCCCAGGGGACTTCTGGTGCTTGTAGGTGTTATAGGTGTTCTTTGGTGAAATGAGACCTTTACTCGTTAATATTAAACTTTGTCTCTGGTTGTGGGTACTTTGTTCTTTCTTTCGGTTCTGTGTTGGATTATTTGCTGTTCCCACCACTCAAACTCTGAGCTGGAACTAATTTGTTNAAGATATGGAACGATCCAGGTAAGGAATAATATGGGGGCCAAAAGAAAAGTAACAACCAGCTACATTCCACCCTGGCCTTTCCCTTCTGAGGGTTTTCACCACAGTTTTACTGCGTTTCTTAGTGCTTTCTAATTCTACGTCAGTTTGCCTGTTTAGGCCAGGGGTTAGCAACTACGGCTTGCTTCCTGTTTGTGTACAGCAAACAAGCTAAGAATGGTTTTTACAATGTTAAATGGTTAAAAAAATTTTTTAAGAATAATATTTTGAGACATGAAAATGATATGAAATTCAAAGTTTGGTTAGTGACCACTGTATGAGATAGTACAGATAAAGAACATTTCCATTATCACAGAAAGTACTGTTGGACGATGCTGTTCTAGACACTAGGGATTCGGCAGGGAACAAAATCAAGTTTCTGCCTTTAGGGAGCTTACACTTGAGTGGACAATAGATAATAAACAAATAAATGCACAATATATCAGGTGTTGATAAATACAGACTGAGCATCCCTAATTCAAAAATCCAAAATCCAAAATACTCCCAAATCCAAAACTTTTGAGCACTGACATAACACTCAAAGGAAATGCTCATTGGAACGTTTTGGATTTCATATTTTGGGGTTAGGTATGTTCAACCAGTATGTATTCTGCAAATGTTACAAAATCCAAAGAAATCCAAAATCCAAAATGCTTCTGCTCCCAAGCATTTTGATTTTTTTTTTCCTTTTTGTCTTTTTTTTTTTTTTTCCGTGTCCGGCAACGGATCGCAACCCTCAGTGTCGCGCCCGTACCGGACCGGGACCGGCAACGGGATCACAACCCTCGGTGTTGCGCCCGCACCTCACTCAGCCAGTGAGCAGGAACCGGTCTGTATGTGGGATCCGAACCCTCCGTGGGAGCGCCGCCACGCTCCCAAGCGGCACACTGTAGCAGTGCGCCACCGGGCCTGCCCTTTTTTGTTGTTTTTTAAATTTTATTTTATTAATATATATTTTCTTACATTCTATGATGTTGTTGCAGAGC